AACCGCCCCTGGGCCCCTGCCGCGTCCCCCCGCCGCCGCCGCCCCCGCAGAGAAAGGCCAAAGTTCCCTCCGGGGTGGTGCACATCAAAGTGGAGCAGCACAAGCCCGAGGAAAGAGATCTCCCGGGCTGCCACGGGGACAGCGGAGAGCCAGGGGCCCAGTTCAGGTGCTCCCCAGTTCCGTTGGGGGTTAAAGAGGAGGCCCACAGTGCCATCAAGAGCAAAGGGGACCATGAAAGGGCCAGCAGAGAAAGGCCGAATGAGACGAAGGTGCTGGAGAAGAGAGGGAATGGGAAGGACCCCAGGAGAGGAGATGCCATCAAAGTGGAGCTGCCTGACATGGCCTTTGAGGCCTGCAGGGTGAAGGTGGAAAAGGATGAGGAGTCCCTGTGTGGACCTGCTTATGCCAGCACTGATGACCACAAGGTGCAGCTGCGTGAGGGACCTGGGATCCGCCCTGAAGATCTGAAGATCCCGGTTATGTTTCAGCCCTTATCTCCTGTGACCCGGATGGAGATCCAAGGCCCTCTGCCTTCTGAGCTGATCCATGTGACTCGTGCCGGTGACGCATGTTTCACCATGCCAGTGAAACCAGTGCTGCTTAAAATGCAGTCTTCACTGGAGCCTTCAGTAAAAATTGAAACCAAAAATGTTCCCTTCACGGTACTGCCCTCCGATTCAGGTATTATGTTAAGAGAGCTTGCAAGGGTTCAGTCAGTTGCACACCACTGACAGGTTATCAGATCACAAGTGGTAAGATTGTGTTAGAGAACCATCCCTTTGGGTAGACTGGAGTTTGTACAGCTCTCCTCTTCAACATAATACGTTATGATACGGGAGCACAGACTTCTCTAGTGGTTGGTTGAAGTCAAGGCAGTTTTGTCCTCTTGCTCCCTGACTATGTTAAACTCCTTGTAACTGTTCAGAATTGCATTGAGTTGTGATTGCAAGTTTAAGGTCAGAAATCTGCTTCAAAGCTATGAGGCATTCATACACTTCTCTGCTATGAGGTATTCATACACATCCCTGAAAAAAACTGGATGTGTTAAATACATTTTAAAACATCTGGATTAGCAGCTTACTTTTTTGGAAGATATTTAAGCTTTCAAAATTAATGACTTAAAGTGAAGTCTTAAAGACTAGAAGACTTTTGCCCTTTTTGATAATGTGCAAGAGTTCATTTCTAAGCCTTTTTCAGAGAGGAAGTTACTTGCTCAGGGATCAGTTGTGAGAGGTCTTGTGGTTCATCATGTCACCAGCTCAATTTAAATGCAGTCTGTGTTTACAAAGAGCCAAAGCTGGGTGTCGTATAACAGTCATTTGGTAGCACAGGTTCCTCCAGCAAAATGAGTATTCAAATCTGAGAAAAGAGTGAGAGAGGGGAGGGGAAAATAAAAAAGAGAGAGAGAGAGAGAGAGAGAGAGAAGAGAAACCCAAACCAGTGACAAGCTCAGTGGAGAAGCCAGGGACTGCACAGGTGTGGAACTAAACTGCCACACCATCATTAGACCTGGTCCCGCATCGTTAGGGCTTTGGATACATAGTGCTGGTGGCGATGACAAATTTGCAGTGATATGGTCTATGCTATACAATGTTTGGTTTATAAATTATAAATGCGTAAGACAATAATCTACACAAATTAAATCCAAGCAAGTGTGTTTGCAGTCCCGTTTTTTTTTTAATTTTTAAAGAATATGTAACAAAAAACAGGTAAGTGGTTCCTTATGCAGGGGTTCAGTGAAGGTTAGTGGAGGATACTCTCTTAGCCTTAGTTATTTTTCTAGGAACTGCTCTTGAAACATGTGTCGAGTTTCATGTGTTCCAAAGCTCTTGGTGACGCTTTTGGCTGTTGCCACATATCCTCTCGATGTACTATTGAATGTAACCTGTATTGCATGTATTGCCTGGAAGATGATAACCTTTCCTCATTTCGTTGCACAGGTATGCCAGATACTCCATTCAGTGAGGATAAAAGTGGCCATGTAAAGCGTCCAATGAACGCATATCTGGTGTGGGCTAGGATTCATCGGCCTGCCTTAGCAAAAGCTAACCCAGCTGCCAAAAATGCAGAAATCAGCGTTCAGCTTGGCCTGGAGTGGACCAAACTGACTGAAGAGCAGAAGCAGCCCTATTACGATGAAGCTCAGAAAATAAAACAAAGGCACAGAGAGAAATTTCCTGGTAAACCTGTATTTATTTACCTGAATGCTTTAGAAGTGTAAGATTTTTTGTAAAATGGATCTCTCTCATTAGAGCAAGTAAAAGGAAAAAATGACAAAAATTTCAAGCACACAGTCGTTCTGTCAGCTTTCTAGTGTCTGAAAGCACTAGATTTCTTTTTTTCAATTAAAACATCCAAAAAGATGTTTTATCCTTCAGAACCTCTGATGTTTCTTATGGCCTTGAACCCCCACAGCTACAGCAGCTCTTCTGAATGTTTTAGTAGTCTAAAGGCCAGATACTGAGTTTACAGTGAGCACAGCCTGCTGCATCCTTTTACATGCTCCAGAAAGAGCTGCCCAGGTGGCCTGTGACACATGCTTCCATTCCTTAAAAGCAGGAAAGGGAAATGCCACGGGAAGCACAAACAGCATTGTATTCTGTGTGACTCTTCAACGTGTAGACTTGGCATTCGCAAATAAGTTCATGGAAGATGTTTCTCTGCCTCTCGTCAAAAGGGTTAAAAATTTGCACCCTGAACAAATTCATTTCTCCGTAACACTGCAGTTCAATAAGACAGAGCATAAGTATTTTGAACACTCCTTTTAAAAGCTGTTGAGGTACCAGGTGTCATGACCCTTTCTGTTGCCATAATCCTGCTAGTTCATGATTATGGCTAATCCTGGTAGACAGGATCTCATGAATCTGTCACAAACGAGCAAATGATAAAAGCAACATTCTCCCTCTTGCCTTGCACCCTTAAAAAATTAAAAAAAATATTTGAAGTAACATTAAGAGTTAGCTTGTGTAAGAAACAAAGCTGCACATGGTAAATTCATAATAAATTTATTCACCTGTTAGTGTTTCATTAGTGTTGTAAGTCAAAGGCAAACATACTCCTCCAAAATCTATCCAGGATTCCTAGTGGGTCGTATTTTCCATTGTCTCTTGTAACCTGCAGGTATGCATGAGACTTAAGAGCTTAAGGAAACAATCGGGAAAGATCCACATTCTGAATACAATCATGTTTTTCTTCCACGCTGAAATCCTATGGTAGTGTCACGTTCTCCTTAACATGCTTTCATCACCTGTGCCGTGTCACTCCCCACTGTTCTGTGGTTTTTTTGTCTCGCAAACACAACTTAGTAACATCAAAACAATGCCCCAGAATACCCATTTTATTTTCACCTCTGATAAAATGCCCTATTTGCTGCCTCACCGAAACAACTGGAGTTTTGCCATTGACGATAGGAACAGTTTTTGGACTAATTTTTAAAATATTATTTCCTAATTACAGATATCATAGCTTAACATAAAGAATGAGACCATCCCAAAAACTGGATGTCTGCATCTTTTTTCATCTCTGACAGGTTGGGTTTATCAACCACGACCAGGCAAAAAGAAGCGGTTTCCACTGCCCATCTCTACTGCACCTAATGGCACTTCTCAGAGTATCATCACTACAAAGGCAATTTTTCCCTTCCAGAAACCTGCTTGCTCTTTTGGCATCCCCAGCGTTAAGAGCAGTATTGGACATCCAGTCTGTGAGTTTTCAGTAGTGAATATTTTTAAAAATTTGAAATTTATGCATTGTAGTAAAAGTTATACATACAGTAGTGTAGATACAGTTAAAAAAATTCTCCGTCTTTCTTGATACCACTGTTTCTGTCAGTCCTCCTCTGTGCTGCTCCACTGCCTTCTAGCCTCTAACTAATATTCAGATAATCATATTGTCTGATAGTAATATCTGATGGTAATGGTAATATTCAGAGATGTAAAAGAGAGCACTCTCAGCTTCACTCGGCTTCATTCTGGTGAAGTTCAGAGTTAGTAAAGTGATCCTTTCTCCAATCCTTTTGTAAATTTGACTGCATAAAGTATTTGTTGTTTTCTTACCCTAGTATATTTTGTAAAGTTACATTGTCCTCAGATGATACTACATTTCATTCCAAAGTTTACTGTGCTACTGTGGTTGAAATGATTCTTAAATACAAACTGTAAAAATCTGGGACAACTTAAGTCCTGTTGACTCAGAATTTAGACTCTTGGACTAGGTAGTGGAGTTTGAAAATGCTCATGCAAAGTGTTTTGAAATCTTTCTGTATAAAAGCAGCCCTGTTGACATGCCACGTGGTTTGAAAGTGTACATTCAAGTCTATGTTCTAGAGTGAAACTGGCTAGCAGGTAACTTCATTGGTGAAAATGAAGAAAACATACTGGGGAGTAGAATGTTTTAACTGTTACTTCTGCTCTTCACTGCTGCTTTGGCACCACACAAATGTCTTAGTAATTTGGCTCACTCCAACTCAGCTAGTAGACTTGGGAGGTTTTCTGAGCTTCAGGCACTAAATGCACATTCCAACCCTGTTCTGTGGCCATATCAGGACAAGACACAGCCCTCGCCAGCCTCACAGCCTCCACACTAACTAGCCAGTTCCTTCTTCTTTCACCCTTGGGTTTCTATAGAAGGAAGTTTGAATGTGTGAGCTACAAACACATCTGTCAGAAGGCCAAGTGTAGACTAAGTGGTCTATGACTCTGAGTTCCAGGGAATTGATGCTAGAAAGTGTTTTGGGGGAAATGGTTCTAGCTCTGGCTTTGCTTTACTACGTTGCTGTTTATGAACTCTCTTCCTCTACTCATGTCTGATAAAAAACTGTTCTGTTTCCTAAAGGTGAAGGTCCTTTTGACATCCGTCTGCCAGCTTTTTCGATCCAACACACTGGTCCAGAAAAGAGTAATACTCTTTTCCAGGCTACTAATGCAAGTGCCACATCAATGGTTATTAAAACTCCGAACCTATCTCCGAGTCCTGTAATTTCATCACAACAATTTGCTGAACCTACTGAGAGAAAAGCTCTCGATGTGTCATCTGGACTCAATTGCTCTCTGAAGACACCTACACCAGTTTTCAGTGAGAGCTTCAGCAGAAATCCAAGTAACATAACCAATGCTAATGGCAGATTTTCTGTCTCTAATAGTGAGCCTCCAAAGGAGTACCCAGGGGTTTCTATTTTTCCTAGAGGTGTACCTCATCCCCAACCTACCCCTTTTCTTCACTCACATCTCTTTGAGTCTCTTACCATTGGTCAGCCAGCCAGTGTATTTGGAGTACCTCCTCGGATTTTATTTCACCACCCTTACTTTGTACGTGGACCTCACTATGTCACCTCAAGGTAATGAAACCCTTCATTTTAATACCATTAAGAACAAATTCTAAAAGGCAGAGGGTCTGTTGACTTAGAGAAAGCAGATGAAGCATTCAGAAGGAAAGGTGCTCTTACCTTCCTACAGCTCCTGTGTGGTGGGACCTGCTGGCCTGAATCTGTAATATATACTCAGTTATTGAAGGCTCCATTATACTATTGCAGTAATTGGCACTCCCAAACTTACAGTAAATAGAAATATCTTCTCTCTACTTTATGCATCTAAGTGCAGTTGATTTCTACAGAAAAGCATTAGGTAGAGAGAGCATAAATATATTTTGAAAATGATTGGATAGAATTAATGTAGATGTGTGAGATATCTCCCAGGTACTATGATTGCAACTGTCATAGCTACCAATATTTCTGAAATCCAGTCTGCTGGGAGATGTCTTCAAAATTCCTATGTAAGTAGTAATTCCTAGTTTTTATCTTGTGGTCTCTGGGTAGTCAATCAGAGAAGATCACCTAATCAAAGAATTTACAAGCTATCCCATGTAGTATCCCATGGGTATTTCCTAAGCTAAGCATGCACAGGAAGGACCAGTGCCCTCCCAGCAGCAGGTGTGCTGCTCAAACACAAGTTGTCTGACAGCCTACTGATGTGCTCTCATTTCACAAACCCATGGCCATGCTTATTTGCAAGGCATCATTTCTCTTTCAAGACCATGTACATCTAACATAACATTATTATGACTATTACACTTTAATTCTGCCAGTTTATACACAGCTCATTCCTACTAATAACAACCACCAGTATGTTCCTATGGCAGTAAGACTACCTGGTCATAAAGTACGGCTGAGCATGACCCATCAAACTCATAAGAACGTAAAGAGCTGATAAGGGCAAGACAAGATACTTCTATTTTTGATATTTCTGGTTTTTAGGAAATAGAAATATCTTGTATATATTTAAAGAAACAAATTCAAAAAATTGCTAAAGATGAACTTTGCTTAGCCCATGGTCTCTGAATTTAGACCATCCTGTGAGGAGTGTCCTTACGCCATAAAATACTGTTCCGAGTTCACACATTACTGGACTTCCGAAGGCTGCTGGCTTTGCTAATGCCAGGATCTTTCTCGTACAATGGTTTACAAGTTCACATTCCCATAAACTCTTGCATACAAGAATGATAATTTCTGAGTAGCACTGACAGTGCAAAGGTATGTATGCAGATTTATGCACGAAAAAATGAAATGTTAGATTGGAAAGAGGAATAGTCTCCTTGAAACCTCAGTAGGCATTGTATCAACGTCTTTATAATGCCTGCACTGTAGAGCTCAATTACTCATTCACATACTTTGTTTTCTTAACAATATAGCAAATTTCTGTAACACTGTGTAAATTACAACACCTGTGTCATTCTGCATCAACATAAAAATTCAGAGTTCTGACACCAGAGGAATACAGTTACATTTGACATAGTAACTTCCTGCAATTTACTATGTGGTTGCTTTTTAAAAATCTATCACTGTAAATTCTTTAAATAGTAACATTGACAACCACATATTGGGCACAAGTATTCTGTCAGTCCTGCTTAATTAACAATGTGACGATGCAGGAGTTCACTCAAAGAATAAAGAAAAGTGTTGTTTTTATTGAAAACCACAGTTCTGTCACAAATTTTGGCATACAGAAATAACACAAACTGGCTTTTGATGCTTTGATTTACTATTCTGAGTGTGTCAGTCAGCATATTGCAGGTTTATCAGATGCTGGTTTATCCGTACTATTTCATTGATAAGTATGATGGGGTTTGTGTTTGTTGTCAAAGCAATGTCATGGATGTATCTAGCACGGAGAGCTGCATATGGAATCCGTGCATGACTTTTGGTAAGGCCCCAGTGTTTAAATTAGACATGGTTTTAAAGTATGCGTGGTTTGAATATTTCAACAGGATAAGCTCAGATAGCATAGAACATCAGTGTTATTCTGTTTTCTTAGCTGAAGGAAAATCCAGGCAATCTGTATTTCTGAAAGCAAACTCTCAATCTCTTTCATTGCAGTGCACGCCTGTTCAGCCAATCTCCATTTGGCTCTGGGAACTTTTCCAGCTCAGTGCCTCAATTCTGTCATGAAGGCAGGTACCAAAGACAGGATGTGATATTTTCACCTCTGAATGGAGATTATACTTCCAAGAAATATGCAGAAGACAATACATGTGAGAACCAGCGCAGCTGTGAGAGCTTAGAGTCGGTGTCCTGTCAAAACAGCGGCAGCAAGGAGCCGCATTTAAGCGCCCTACCACAGCTGGACATCAGAACATTGGAGGAGGTTTTGCCAGCCACCCCACCTTCTCCCTCCAGCACCAACTGTATTAATATAACTGACATCGACAAGGAAGAAGATGTAAAGTTGTTGCAAGAATTGTAATTTTAAAAACAAGTTGTAATCCAGATAAATATTATAGAATAGGAAATACATGTTTAACTCAGCAGTGCCTTTTCAGTCAGTTCAATGGAAAACCTATGTAGCTTGAGTGAGCCGTACAGGTCATTTTGAAGAGCCTGATGATCTGTTTGTATTTTGAGAGATCACATACGGATCTGATGAGGTCAAAAGCCTCTGGAGTATTGTTGTTTGTGCTCTGGCTCAGGAAAGCACTTACACAGAAATTCAGCTCTAAGCATGTGATGCTGTGCTTTCCTGAGGAGCCATTTGTTTAAGCACACCCTTTTAATGTTAAAATAGGTGTCTTGATGGTATTTGCCATCATTTTGCAGGTATTACTTTAGGAGTTCTAGCAAGTTAAATAATTCTGGTTTATAACAGTATTGTAATTCTTGCAGCAGTAAAGTACTATAAAGCCTGGAGAGTGAAGTTAAGAATGATTCTGCAAATCTTTATATTTTCTCTTCGATGAGACAGTTTTAAGATTAATTTGGTTAACTTTTAACTGTAGTCTGTATTTGTGATACAACCGCTATATAACATGCTGAGAATTTAGATCACTTTCAGTAATATCTTGGTCTGTAACGAGTTCCTTTAATAAAAATAGGGTTGTCCAGAAGGTGTGGTGAGGAGTGGTAGCACCCCGAGAGAGGAAAATGGATGGGATCTGGCCCTGTGAGTTACACTAGTGGGCTATGACTTGATCCCTGAGGGTAGTTAGTACTGTAAAGAATTCTCCAGACAATACCAAATTCTCTGAAGATTATCAAAAGCTTTTACTAGAGAGAGTATCTGTGCTGAACTCAAAGAGTAATTAAATACATTTTTTTTCCCAGAAATTGTGACTTATGTTCCTAATTTTTTTCTCCCCTGTTTTGTGGAATAGAAGGTCACTTTCTTCTGAAAAATCCTGTTATCTTGCTTCTGTTGTATTTAAATAAATTCATCTGAACAATGTATCCCTAGTTCTTTATTTTAAGCCCTAGACATTGAACTGAGTGGGGACAAGTAAATCACAGTTCATGTTACTCACAGACTTCCTGTGCAGCTAAGGTGCATATGCCTAGAATAATGAGCTAAAGTCACTTTTTCAGGCAATTTGGGCTACTAATACTAGTGTATATTTGTGTGTGTTCATATTTATAATTATAATTGTGTAAATCCAGGTACTGGAGAAATATGGGAAGAGCTGAAAGCCATGGATGGAGAAGTCCCTCCATGCTGGGCTGCTAGAGGATGCTCAGGAATGATCCAGAGGAAGCTAGGTTGGCTATCTCATATAAGACATCCTGTATTTTATGGGTGATCACACTGGATCTGTTGGACCATGAGCACACTGTTGAACCTGAGGCTCAGGCCCCCTATATCCACTGAGACCGCATTATTGATAAAGACAGGTACAAATGAAATCTCCATATGCCTCAAAAGCCAGTCCTAAACCAGTGCAGAGTAGATATCCTCTGCATTCTTTGCATTTTAAGTTTTCAATCTAGTATCAACATTTGAGTGCTGCTTTTGCTGCTGTGGGCCAATAACTCCATTTTCCAAGTCCAAGATCAAAACCTGTCATTTTATAGTTAAGAACACAAAAGCATGAGTAAATCCTGTCCACCCTACACATTGCAACCGTGTTGCCAACAGTCCCCTGCTCCCACTGCATCTGCCACGCAGATGAATCACTAAGAGGAAAGTCTTATAAATAGTAGAAAATCCCTGTTCGTTTCTAAATTATCTTCTTACTGAAAGCTGATCTGGCCTGAATGTGGGCAAATGTACTAATTCCTATACAAGTATGTTTCGGGGTATAAAACAGCTGTTTGTGGGATTATTCTCTAACTTCCCTCTTCTCCCATTTTTCTTTTTGTACACCACAGAGTAGGATATAAGACAAATTGCAGTGCACCAGAATCCAGAATGGTTGCTTGCCAAGGATAATACAAATTTATTTCCTTCTATGTGGGGGTGTCCAGCACTATTTGAAGGGAGGTGCATCTCTGCTGCTTGCTTGTACCTTGTGCTTGTTGTGAACCTGGTGCTGATAGCTCAGGGTGAGCTTCAGTGGGTTGAGGGATTTGCTGCAACAGCATCCATCTGCTAATGGGACCGTTGTTCTTTGTTTAGGAAAGCACAGTGTATTATACCCTTAGTATAACTATTATCTGCTCTGTTTAATACCATAAATGCCAGAAGAAAAGACTGAGGGTTAACACCTCCTGGATACATCAACGTGAAACAAAATGTAGGGCTGATCCCTCTTTCCCTTCCAGCTAGAGCTGAAGTCCTGAATTGGTCATATGGGATCTGTGTCTGTAGGTCTGTGGCAGTGGATCCAGCCCTCAGCTGAGCTCTCCTGGAGGCTGTTACATCTTGTCTACAACAGCAGTGAAACTTATAGGAGCACCCCATTCAAACCCGACTTCCCTGGAATCGTTCCTTAAGGTGCTCTGGCAGCTCTGCACAGGGGAGTTCTCTTGTGTTGGAAGGGGTTTGTAGCTCCCCTTTCTAGGTAATTTTCAGTCCACCTCCTACATGCAGATTCCTGAAGTGCCAAGTCTCTGTGCTGTTATTTCTCCCCTTGCAACGTGTGAAGTGGGTCATAGATAGCGCCAGTCCTGTGGTGACCATGTGCCTTCCTGCAAGCCTGCTTCATGGCAGGGCAGAGGGTACCTGAGACATGAGAGAGACATACTCTACTGTCTCATAAAATATTTTTTTACTTCTTTATCTGCTGTTTACCTTAATCTAAATTAAAAATCACCTTGCATGCTTCTTAGCTTGAAAAACAAACCAGATGCAGATTTTCCAAACAAAGTTTGTTTTCCTCCTGCTGCTGTAAATGTCTAAAGACCTTCAGCAGTGCTTCCCAGTGCATCACTGTCTGTGGCTATCCCTTTGCAGGGAGGAGGTTCTTCTCCAAAATTACTGGACAGTTTTATGGATTGGATGTTATTAAAAGCCCTTGAGCTGTTATACCTGCTCCCCTTCTCTTACAAGAATAAACTACTTCAGTATAATCGCTACTGTGTTGGAGAAGTTTGCAGGCAGCATAGAGAGGACTACAGTGCTTTACATGCACAAATACAGTTACAAAGATGCAACATGTCTGCATATGCAATCTTCTACCTTTAACTTCACTTGCCTGTAGGAATGAAGCAAAAGCAGCAGCAGTGACCCACCCTTTATAAAAGGCATAGAGAGTACTTTGATATTATTTCCCTAACAGCACATCGGGACAAGCCCTTGTCTGGTAGCTGATCATCTTACAGCATTTCTCTCTCTTTGGCAGGACAGCTGCCCTAGGGCTCTTCCAAGTATTAGGGTGGTGGAAAACCAAAGCTAAACAGAAGATTGTCGGTCAGCCGAAGCTGTTCTCTACTGTTAAGACTCAGAATAATAAAGTTCACTGTTAATTCTTCAGTTCCCTTCATGGATTCACAGCCTTCCTCATTTGATCATTTCAAGTGATCTGAAGGAGAAAAATGTTCTGGAAAACAGAAGTTTTCACATTCCGCTCAAGTCAGCCAAATACACAGAATTTCTTTCCTTGGTGTGAGTGTCTGAAATGCAGAAGTTAGGCAGGACAAAAAGTGTTCTGCCTTTTCCTTCTAAGACTTTGGTTCTTGGTAACATTTTCTCCAGCGTCAGCAGGGCTCTTCTCAGAGCCGTTCGGTCAACAACTCTTCCCATTTCTGAAAAGAGAGAGTTCCAATAAAATATTACTGAGTTTTCAGTCTGATACGTGTCCAAGTTACTCTCTGCATAAGTCTGTTCCTTTAGCAGGCGTTCTCCTCTGTAGGTCTATCTTTTTATTTCCTTCTAGGTGGTTAACTCCTAATTTACTATGAACATAATGGTAGAATCATAATTTTTTTGCTTTCCAGCTAAACCCAACAGCGTTAAACCATCCTGCAAATGGTCAAGTGTGTGCAGAGACCTCACTGCAAAAGCATTCGCATCAGCTTTGTGCTGAGGAGACTGAAACACCTAATTTTCAAACTTAGTGAATGACCACATGCACTGACACTTGCTCTGGGTGCTGCTCGGAGGCTTCAGTTAGCGGCTATGTTCATCCCCTGATCACAGGGGATGCAATAGATAAGGGAACAGAGCACAGATTTCCAAATTCCCAACTGATACTTTCAATCAGGCAGTGAGGAAATGAGTCTGGGTCTGTGTAATTTCTAGATAACTGAAAGCTTGGCCTGCTCTGTGAGTCAGGCAAACGTCCCATCGACTTCAGTGAGAGCTTTTTGAAGATCTAGGTACAGGCAGGATCTGACTCACCCTGTGCCAGAGGCAGGCAGCGTTACAGCATCTGAGCACTGTTAATAAGGTTGGAATATCCCCAATCTTTCCATGCAACAATGTCTCAGCAATGTAAGTGATATATCATATATATATAGAATAAACTATATATAGCAACTGCACAGTCTGTGGCTATATTTTTATAGAGGGAGTTTCTGGTGATTATAAATTAAGATACCAATTCTCGTATTACCAAGATCCAAAGATAAAAATATCACTTTATAACAAATGCAAATATTGCACATAGTTCATTTTTATAATACTTGAATGCTGACAAAAATTACAAGCAGATAGTTATTGGCCTAAGTATTTTAAAAATCTTAAAAGAAAACTCCTTTTGTTTGATTTTAGATCTTCTTTTAGAGAAATAAATAGAGCAGACCCTGTGAACATTTGTCATAGTGGGAGGATCTGTGACAATCTTTCAGTGCAAATATACATGTTCCTCATCAAAGCATTTTTTCCTTTGGGTAGACAGAAATTTTATGCAGGTATGAAAGCAGAATAGCTAAATCTGTGTCTAAATTTGGCCTGGACTTTTACTTACTTATAATAAAAGCATCAATAATAGTGCCATTGTTTTTGTCTGTGTTACAGGCAGCTATAAATAAAGGGGAGAGTTCACAAAAAAATCAAGATTTCCCTTCAAGATAGTCTATTTGATTAGAAAATAGCTG